TTAACTACCAGTGGTAGGTAGTGTTTGGTGGACTCTGACTGCTCCAGCTCACAGAGGAGGCTGTCTTGTTGGGTCAGAGTTTGGACCACTTGGTGGGTCTTTTTGGTTTCACATGATGTCAGAGGAGTACTCACCGGGCTCGTGTCCTCGGCTGAGGAGTCCTTTGCACCTTCCGCGGTACCTGCTGTTGGGCAGTCTGTGTTACACTCCGGAGGCGTATCTATTGGCAGTGGTTTGCTCACTGTTGTCCACATTGTTTGATCACCATAATCTATAATCGCGTCGAAGCGATTTATAAAATCCTGGCCAACCAAAAATGGGAATGAGTCAACACGAGACACGTGTACCGGGTGGTACAGTGTCATTTTGCCAATCTGCATGTGAACCATTGCTATAGCTGTCAGGGTTGTTCTCTTCTCTGAGAGACCCTGCATTTCTATAGCACAATCAGATAGAGGAATTATCCTGTTAACATCGGCAGCGGCTGTCCTCAGCTCCTCGAACAGTTTAGCTGACATAATTGTTATGTCTGCCCCACCGTCCAGAAGTGCTTCGTGTGTGAGGACACCTTCGAGTGTTACTGACAGGTACGCCTTTTTGGCGGCCCCCTTTCTGATAAAGTTACACAGAAACCTCTTGGGTTTTTTCTGACGCTTCTTCATGCGTTCAGAAGTGCTTGTGTAATCTTGGTTTGTCTGAACCGTAGCTGTTTCTGCGTGTTCAGCTTGCGATGACTCGTCATCGTTTGTGTGTGTGTTTACCCCCCCTTCATCCGATGAGGGGTTGTTTGAGGCAACAACAGCAATATCTTGGTGTGTCCCACCGACATCTGTAATGTTGTCATTCGCGCCCAGGGATGTAATAGTGATTACATCACTGCATAGTGCTCCAGGTCGGCTTCCCTTGTCAGTGCGTTTCAAATCTTCTAACATTTCGCGTAATTTTTCTGTCTCTTCCGAGCTCAGAGGTGTAGGGCCTTTTTTCTGGAACCTTTGTGATTTTTTCGCCTTGGGACGTTTCGTCCGAGGTGGGAGGCGGCTAGGTACGTCTTTTGGGGGTTCCTTTCCGGACGTCCCCTGATAATATGGGTCCTCTCGGTTCCCATATCTTTGCGTCCTACGCATATCCCATTTACGATAATCACGTTCATCCTCTGAAAGAGGAGCCTTTTTGTCCCAGCGTGCACCTTCATTACGTGGTTTGTTAGTTTGAAAAGACTGCTTTTTCCTCGCCTTTTTTAGGAGGAGGTGGCGACGCACGCCTTCCTTCCAGTTCTAGGGAGTGGGGTTTAACCTTTACACCAGGAAACACTTCTATGGGCGTCTTAGCATGAGAACATGCCTCGAACACATTCACCGCACACTGTTTAATCTCACTGATGGATTTTTCTCTGAAATTTGCCATCATTTGCACTGATGTTTTAATATCAGTGTGGAGATTTTTGCTGAAAACAAATTTAAAACCTTCTTCTTCCTCCATCCCGGTTTCATTTCTGTTACCGAAATAAGCTTGGAAGATTCTTTTGTAATAAACTTTTGGATGTTCAGTTTTACCCTGGGTGACCTTGTCTGCGGCTGGGAAACCAGCAGGTCCCGTGCAGGAGTCGTACTCTCTGATCAAAGCTTCACACAGAAGGTTGTAATCCTTTCTCGTTGCATCAGGTAGACGCTCGATGAAGGTGAACATCTCTCTGTCTGAAGTGAGCCTTATCAGACTGATCTTATCTTCAAGCGTAGCATTAGGATAAGATCTCAATCTGAACTCAAGATCTCTGAGGTACGCTTTTGTTCCAGATGAACCCATCGGTCCAGGTACAAAGCGTTGTACATATTTTGAGATTTTTTGCAAATCATCCATTGAAGGAGAAAGTATCAACGGTCTCACTTGCGTGGTTGGTAGTGGGGGTGTTTCTCTACCCATTTGTGTAGGTGTTTGGATGGGCTTAAAAGCACGAGGTGAGTAAAAGATTTTTGGAGGTTTTGGTGTATTATCCCGACACTGTTCGAGGTCTGGTCTGGATTCCAGATCACCTATCCCCTCGTCATTACTTTTACCTGTTGCTGCTCTTAGTTTCTCCTCACATGTTTTTAAGCGTTCCTGTGTTGTTTGACATTCACCTTGTAAATGCATGAATTTTTCCAGGAGTATCTCTTTATCCACTCTGCGTTTTTCCAGCTCAAAATTTGCAAGCTGCAACTCTTGTTGTAGCTGTTCATTGTCTGAGCACGCAGCTTGGTACTGACGGTCTTTTTCACTAATCTTGTCATAAGATTGAGCTTGTAATGACGCTTGCATATCTGAGAGCTCCCTCTCATGTGTTTTAGACAGCATGACATTGCGTTCAAACTGTTCATCCAATTCCGCTTTTAGAAGCAGAGAGATTTTTGCTAACCGTTCCTGGCTAGACTTTTTACTCTCTGACACTAATGTTCCTTTTGCCAAACTTCTCAGTTCTTCCTCTCTTTGAATTTCATCAAGTTGTTCTAATTGCTCTATTTGCTTACCGAGGATTGTATCTGTTAAAATATGTAAAGCCCCCAAAATGATATCATCATTTGATTGGGAGTTGAAAGGGTGCTCTCCTCCTTCTTCGTCTGCCATTTTTCTTCTATTTAAAAATTAAATAGGAGAATTTAATGTTTTAGGTTTTTTTTTAAATAAAATCAGAAAAGTCTCTTTTTCTGATATTTACTCTTATTTAGTGATCTTGCAATTAGACGTGTATTATCTTCTCCAGCAAATGAGTAAACTTTTATCTCTGTGAATATCTGTATCTGTATTTTTTTTTAAAGTTTCTAACTTTTATTTTGTACCTTTTTATAAGGAATTACCAGTGAATAAAGTTTTTTTGGTAAATGCCTTTCTGCATAAATACCTTTCACTTTTTTAAATGCAAGATAACAGTGATTATTCAGCTTTGAGGAAGTTTATTAACTCACAATCGTCTTACAGACAAGAAACACGTTTAATTTCACTAAAATACCTAAAACGAAGTGAAAACCTGTGATCTCAAGTCTCCACAGGAGGTGGCAGCATAACCTTATTTATTTTAACTCAGACACTGTTAGTGTTGTCCAGTAGGAGTCGCTATGACTTCCTGTGGCATCCGGTCGTTAGCTGTTAGCTTAAAATTAGCATCGGCTAGACTCGGTTAAAATCAACATTTCTGAACGGATTTTTTTACTCAAACGTGGCAAAATTTTAGCAATTAGACTTCGAAGAACTAGCA